AAAAAAAAAAAAAAAAAAAAGGTTTTTCGCTTACTCTGAAGAGATGGTTGTTTTCTTGAACATAAAATAGAATCAAATATCCAACTTTTGGTCTTTTGTTCGCTAAATTTGGATGCTAAATTTTTGAGTTATGATTTCTATTTAGACAAATGTAGTTGCACCACACTTTTTGTTCATTTTGTGCATTGAAATGAGATATAAAAGCATTTTTGTCCCTCCTTCGTGTTCGAATCTAATAAGCGAATCGAGCTGCTCGTAAACTCGGGTCAGCTCGTTTAAGACTTGGTTCATTATTAAACTTGAAAAAATAGAGATTTTCGCATATTTTCATAACATTTTTAGTATAAATCTGCTTGTTAACATCCGAGTTCGCCTAGTTAATAAGTGCTTAAACTCGACCTAGCTCGTTCGATTATTTATCTGTTGTTATATGACTGTTAACAACTATAATAAGCAAGGATGATTTATGAAAGATATAAGAAATAAACATAAAAGATGTCGGTTTGAATTGTAGACGACATTGGTATATAATAATTATAAGTTGATATGCCTTTTTGGACTTATCACAAGTGATGTTTTATGTTCCCACCCCATTTTTGGGGATTCCTCGAACGATTTATAGTGCAATGACCCACCGTACGAGATTGGCGTGATCGCATTAAATGTAAAAGAAAAGTCAATGGCGGCTATCTGCCACTTGTACTTGTGGTTCGCCACTTGAATAACTGTCATGATGGCTTGCTGAGTTGGCACCGCCTTACGATGTCGGGTTCGCATTTCATGGATATCGGTTGGCTAGGACATGACCGACGAGAGATGTCGGTTTGATGAAGAGAGAAAATGTTGAACTTATCGGCTGTAAAGATGTCGGTTTTTTATTAGTGATGTCGGTTCTTAGCCCACTCTACCCGACGATTGAAATCTGTAAGCCTAAGATCTCCAAAGTAGTGTAACCAAGTGTTGGAATATCACTTGTGAGTGTCCCACATTGATTCTATAGGGAAAATAGGTCTAGTATATATGCCTAGTGGGCTACTCTTCCTATCACCAATTGGTTTTGGGATGGAACCTCACTAAGGTGCATCTAGGCCCACCCTCTTATGGTGCGCCTTCATCTGGTAGGGCCGCACTCACTTTCCCTGGTTCTAATATGGTATCAGAACGGGCCTGTCCTAGGACCTGCAATGACTCTCTCTACCAGGCCTGCTCTGGGCTTGGGCTTATCTCTCTACCCGGTCTGCTATGTGGGCTTGGGCTTACGAAGGACTCACAAGTGAGGGGGCGTGTTGGAATATCACTTGTGAGTGTCCACATTGATTCTATAGGGAAAATGGGTCTAGTATATATGTCTAGTGAACTACTCTTCCTATCACCAATTGGTTTTGGGATGGAACCTCATTAAGGTGCATCTAGGCTCACCCTCTTATGGTGCGCCTTCATCTGGTGAGACCGCACTCTCTTCCCCCGGTTCTAATACCAAGTGTCGTTTATTCTTGATCGTTTTGTGCTACTAATCATCGAGCATTTGATCTAGTGAAAATCATGTCAACAATATCAATTCTAAATTCTAACATATATGACTATTTGAGTTCAAGTTAATTTGCAAAAATTGCTACTTTTGAAGTGCGCTTTTAAGGTGGACCGTGATTTAAAGGCGGTGTATCTAGAAACCATGGCAGCCCCTTGTCCGAGTACCATAAAACGGCTTGTCAAAATCAATAAACTCAGTACGAGTGAAATATAATTTATTTTGTTAGGTAAAGCTTATTCCAAAAAAGATAAAATGAAGCATAAAATGGGGACATAAGTTTTTATTATAAATATCTTAAAATTGAGATTGAGGTTCAATACTATGTTGCCAGTCACATATTTTTGTAACATTATATTAGTTTCATTAAACGTTGGTGACTATTAGTCAATACATTTATTGACCAAGAACGCTGACTTGCCATACAATGCAGTAAATCGATAAATCAGAGCTAGGGGATCGATCGATATTCGGCTCACAACTCGAATGATTTGTAGTGAGGTCGACTCAGTTGTTTACGGTTTAATACTAGTGATTGCGACTCCGATCTCGACTTAATCTCTAAGGGCGTGATTGGATATGAATCGAACCGGTTATGATTCAACTTGGTTGGTTAAAGTGGGTTATTTTGATTAGAGTTCATTAGTTGGATGATTTTGAGTTTGTAATTAAATAATATTTGAAATGTAATAATTGAAGTTGACGTGAATTAAAAATCTGAAGGAAATTATTGAAAGTGATAGGTAGATGGATAAATAGTGAATTAAAGTTGATGTGATGTGTAAGGATGATTTATTGATGTTATATTTATTCTATTTATAAAAAATTGACAAAGTTGAGTTGAGTTGGATTTAAAAGTGTGGTAACTCGAACAAAAAAATTTGATCGGTCAAAACCATTTAAATCATTATGATTCATATTCAATCACGCCCTCAAAGGTTAAATAAGCGTTGTACAGCCTATCGAGTTTTTTAAAACGACCTCTATCCTATCGATGAGATATAGAAAGTGATGTATTCGTCAAATCAAATAAATAAGAGACATTAATCTCGAGATAAAAGGATTCTCTTCTATCTAAAGAACTTGCACATCGAAAATAGGTATATGTATAGTGATTCTAAGAAATGCTCATTATTATCTAATACACTATGTTTTCTATCATATTATATAAGAGAATTAATCTAGCTCTAGCGTCAGTAGTGTCTCTATATAAGAGACACCTCCGAACACTTTTCAGATCATCTAAGGTCAAGTTTCGAGCTGAGTTTAGCATAGGAACTCAGTTCATTTAGTGTAGGACATCAAATTCTTTATCTATTTATATCTTTTAAGCTATATATTAGTTTTAATAGATAGTCTCAACTAGTTTTAACTTAATGTTCACCATTTCTTAACTTCATTATTTATTTATGTATATCTTATTAGAGACTTAATATTAAAAAAACAATTCAATATTCAATAAAATGCATCCTCTTTGGGCAAACTAATTAAAATTCCACGTCCAAAGCCCATAGCCATATATTTATGTTTCCTTTATTTTGGTTAATATTATCGTCGGTGGGGAAAAAAAGTTGTTCAACACATAATATAAGAAAATGGAAAATAATAATAATAATAATAATAATAATAATAATAATAATAATAATAATAATAATAATAATAATAATATAAGAAAAGAATGTTCCAAAAACCACCCGCAACCCTTTTGTCGGATATAAATTACTCGCACGCAAATGTTTACTATGATAGCCGTATAGTCGGGCCAACATGTTAGTAGAATTATGGTGCCTAATAAAAAAAGAAATATAAATCAATCAAATATCTTTTTTAATTTTATTTTATTTATTAAATATGAAATATTTTAATTAAAGTGCATATATATATATAATAATGTGTCGTCCAAATTGTAATTATAATGATACTTTAATAGATTTTATTATAAATATAATTCATAAATTTCGAGGTGTTCAATTACAATTTTGTTAGATCTTAATTTTTATTTATTTATTTATTTATTTATTTTTATTTTTTATTTTTTTTTGGGAAAGTCGTTTTCAAAATTATTAAACTCTTTTAAGCTGTCAAGGTATTATTAAATTGCTACTTTTTTAAATGTCTTTGTAAGATATATCCGGGTAAAATTGAAATTCAGACCTCTTAACTAGATTTGTAAAACTAAAGACTTTTATAGGCATTCTTAACTAAAATTCTGAATTAGAAAATTATTCTTGAAGGCCAATAATAAATGGTGAAATTTTAATTTAACGAATTGTTAACAAATAATACATCTAAATAAAAAAATAATAACAAAATTT